CGGCATCCGCGGCGGCCATGGCCCGGGCCCGCAGCGTGGCCCCGCCCCTCCCGCGCGCCATCGCCCCGCCCGCGCCTCGCGGCTCAGGGCCGGGGCGGGGCCCGCCGCCTGCATCTACGCCTGCGCGCACACCAGCGCTGCGCCTGCGTACCAGGGCCGGAACCCTATGGCGCCTGCGTACTGGAGTGGGGACGGGCGGCGCTTGCGCGCTGGAGTCCTCCCGTGGCGCTACTGCCCATCAAGCTGCAGGGCTCAGAACTGCCCAAAGAAGCCGCTCTGTGGGCTTGTGGTGGTGGCTGGAGGTGGTCTCCTATTCTTAGCAGTTTTGCCTTCCTTACCATTACCACAAATATTACATGGGAAATTCTAGAAATAAGTAATCCCTAGCTTTTCAGTTGCTCGCCCTTCTGAGTAGCAGACTAAGCCTTGCCGTCCTATCCGGCCGGCGCGACCGTCCTTTCCTCCAGCGTGGTCCCACCAGGCGCGCTGCCCGCCCGGGCCGCCACCAGCCGCTGAGGCGGTGCCGCGGAGCTTGGTTCCGTGGAACTTAGCTTGCCTGATGGTGGCCCCAAAGCGCGAGAGTGGTGATGCCAGGCGACTCGACTATGCCAAAGAGAAGCTGTAACGTGCTCTAAGTGAAAAGGTGAACGTTCTTGACTTAATAAGGAAAGGAAAAAGTATGCTGAGGTTGCTAACCTCTGGTAAGAACAAATCGTCAATCCATGAAATTGTGAAAGAAAAAAAAAGTGCTAGTTTTGCCCTCATACCTCACACTGCAAAAGTTAGGACCACAGTGCATGATGAGTGCTTCGTTAGGATGGAAAAAACATTGAATTTCTGAGTAGACAGAATAGAAAACGTGTTCAGAGTGATAATAACCTGTTGGGCCAGAAAGCACTGAGCCTACACCAAGATTTCCACCAGGGAGCCCCAGAAAGGAGGAGGGAAGGGTGGTGGCACAGACTCAGAAATAGGATTGGACTTGAAAACGAAACTCACGGCAGAGGCTGCCTCTGGCGGTGAAGAAGCTGAGGCTACATTTCTGTCAGTGTTGAAGTTGAAGGAGAAAGCCCTAAAGAACATGAGTTGTCTACAGAGAACGAGAAACTGTAGCAGAGCTAACTCTGGACATAACCAAAATTTGCTGATGCTTCCAACTGCACAGAAATTGAAGGACAAAATACACTACGCTCATAGTATCTGCTCAAGGACTGCAGCCTCTACAGCAGCACTTTGATAAGTTAAAGACACAACTTTCCAATTACAGTGTTCTTCCAAAAGGTTGGGCGGGGGGGATGCTATGGAGAATCCCAGCTGTCTAGAACGAATGCTCAGAGCATCCATCTAGCAACATCCCGATGGCTGTGGTCTGGGGTCACCCAAAGTCAAAGATTCTCCTGACATACAGACAGGTCGGTAGCAGCCTAGTGTGGTGTCCCAGTGCCTCTTCACTCCATCCCATCACAGGCGTTGTGTCACTTATCATATAGGGAGTACAGGACAGGAAGAATTTGAGAGACCACATTCATGTTTTTATTATAGTGTAGTGTTATAATGGTTATTAGATTTTGTTACTCTATTCTTGTGCCTAATTTAAACTTTATTATAACAAAACACATAATATGTACAGAGTTTGGTACTGTGTGTGGTTTCAGGCATCCCCTGGGGGGCTTAGGACATATGCCCTGGAGATGACAGTGCCTGCAGTAGCTGAGAATTCTTAATTGACATTCTGGTCATTTGGTCAGGATGGAGACCAAGGCTCCCACTCCTAACCTCTGAGCCATGCTCATTTTGACTTCTTTTGCTTTCACAGAAGGCACACACCCTGAATCATGTCCTATGGTGATGTCCTGATTGGGGGTTTCACTTATAGTGTAGTTGGAGGAGAGTCCCAGGATGGAGGGATGGTTCCCTGGTTAGGAGGAATGCCCCAGCTGGGAGAAGGGATCCCAGTTAGGGGCATGTCCCAATTTAAGGAGTGTTCTAGTCAGGGAAGGTACTCCTACACGAGAGGGTGCAAGGTGGAGTGGATCTTCTGCTGGGAGGTGATCCAGCTCGGGATGGTGTCCTGAATGGAGGGTGTTCGAACAGGGAGGAGTACCCCAGATGGGGCAGGGTGGCCTCTTGTTAGGAATGGGTGCTCTGCCAGGGGCAGTATCCCAGAGAAAGAGAAAGGTTGCCCAGAAGGAGGAAGGGGTATTGACTGGGGGGTCCTCTAGGTAGATGTGCTCTTCTTGGTTTTTCCAAGCTCCCTGCCAGGCACAGGCTTGCTGTGCACACAGGTCAAGGCCTTTACTGCAGCCCAAACATCCTTCACTGGACAGCATATCTGACACCACATAAACTGTCTCAGGCTACCTGCTCCCTACCACATCTGTCTCTTCGAAACTTGGGACTTGAGGAAAAACAAAGTGAAACTGAGGTTCTCATTGACAAGAACTAAGGAAGCCTTACAGGCCGGGGATTTAGCTCAGTGGTTCCACCACCTGCCTCCCAAGCACAAGGTCCCAAGTTCAATCCCCGGTACCAAAAAAATACCAAAACAAAACTCAGGAAGTCTTGAATCTTGAAAGCCAGTCTGGGCTCAGTCTTGAGGGGAGACAAACTGGAAAAATGACTCCACTAACTCTGGCATTGTTGGTACACACAGATCCAGAGAATAAAATACGCAGCCCTAAGTCTCATCCCAAGTTTCCTAAGACAACTGATGACAGGCACAGGAGTCCATCCCCACCCACCTTTCCATTTCTGCTTTTTTCTTTTTCTTTCTTTCTTTGAGACAAGGTCTTGCTATGTAGCCCAGACTGGGCTCGAAGCTGGTGACCCTCTTGCCTCAGCCTGAGTACCAGGAATATAGGTGTGCACACCACACCTGGCCATCTCTGCTTCATCTATCCCTTCCCAGAATCCTTTCTCTCAGGTGTCTACATAGCTGGCTTCCTTATCATCCTTGCCTCTTAAAATATTTCAGAAAAGCTTTCCCTCTTGGTTAAAAATGACACTGTTATGGTTTGTAGATAGATGTCGCTGCTAAAGCCTCATGGGCTCATAGGAGGGGCTTTTCAGAGATGGCTGGATCTAGGGTGTGATTAATTGGATTAGTCCACTATTGGTTTAGCATAGTTCTGGGTGTGGATAATGGGAAGACCCACCCTGGGCATGGGTGGTATTGATAGGCTTGTACACTGGATGGAGTAAAAGAGAAAGGGCTCACTGCTTCCTGCCTCCCATGCCATGAACTATTTCTCCTCTGTGATGCCACCCTGCCTTAGTGCCAACTGACTATGGACAGAAACCTCTACAAACTGTAAGCTAAACATTTCCTCCTTTAACTTGAGGGTATCAGGTATTTTGTCCCAGCAATGAGAAAAGTAACTAAGAAAAGCACCTCACACTTGCTTTACTTGGCTCTAACCCTGACTCTCCTACACCCTTACTTGGCACATACTTGACGTACTTGTCTTTCCACTGTTTTGTGTGGCTAGTACCTGGAACAATACATTGCATACAGGAAACAAACTAAATATTTGTTAAAGGAGTATGTGAAGTTAAAATGTGGGGAAAACCCTTTACCAGGCAAATATGACTATGAATGAGCATGTCAGAAGTAGCCTATGGGAAGCCCTTACATTCCCATTTTCCCATCAGCCAGAGTTGCCTATCCTATAATAGTCACTGACCACCTACCCTGCGGCTGCATATGCTATGTATTTCACACCCTGAGAGACAGTCCCTGTGCATATCTACATTTTAAATTCTTTTATTTTTTATTTTTTTGGTACTAGGGCTTGAACTCAGGACCTCACGCTTGCCAGGAAGGCACTGTGCCGCTGAGCTACATCCCCAGCCCCTATCCACATTTGATAAGTAAGCTAAAGCAAGGGAGCTGACCACCAGCAAGGTTATATAGCTGGCCAGAGGTGAGATCCCAACCTCCAGGAGGTGGGCTGTCCCACCTCCAGCCTACTTTGTGCTTTTCTCCAATACTCATCTTCCATTTGTCCCATGTGTCACGTGTGTCTGCCTGGTGAGACATTGCCAACCAGAAGATGGAAGCCACAACTTGAGAATGACAGCTGTGTGGCCGACTCCTATCCGTTCTCCTCTACTTGTCAAGATCTGGTGGAGGAGAGCACTAGACTGTCCCCTGAGAGCCTGTGTGCCTGTTACACAGCCAAGGTATTGGAGTGAACACACCAAACACAATCACCCTGCACCCGATCCTGGCTTGGGCTCAGTCTGCCTTAGCTGCGTCCAGTGCGTTCCATCCCTCCCACCCGCAGGATGCAGGCAGGCGCAGGGTGCCCCCACCAAACCGCACGTGCTGCTCACAACCTTTGACAAACGAGCCATGCCAGCAGGACAGCAACCTGAGGCCCAAGGGTAGGATTCTACGGGGGACAGAGACCTGGCAAGCCCTCTCCCCACAGTTTCCTCGGGTGTGGCATGACGAGTGGTGACCAGCAAGCCAGCATGCGCCTCGAAACAGACAGGACAGAGAGCGCATCCAAGACTGTCAGTGCCAGAGAGGCAAGGCTGGAGACCAGGAAGGGGGAAGGGATGGGAGGGGCCTGGGTGGGACCAGGGAAAGGAAGAAAGGCGCGGGCAGGGCCAGGGCTCCACCCAGGAGGATGGAAAGTGTCTGAGGATGGGGAACGCCCATGTGGGCCTCTGCCCAGCTCCACAAATAAAGCGCTTTATTTACAGTCCCTCCAGTTTCCAAGCCCTTTCCGCCCTGCCCCAACCCAGGAGAGAAGAGGCTTGACTCCCGGGAGCCAGGAGAGGCTGGTCCTGGGCAGGCTCAGGTCCTGAGTGGCTGGGCCAGGCAGAGAGCAAAGGCACAAGGCCCCGGGTGTCTCGTCCCAGGGTAGAGGCCTGGCCCACTGGAGAAGGCAGCATGGGTCAGCTCTGGAGGGTCAGCTCCCAGGGGTCAGGCCGGCATCGGCACTGCCGCAGCTCTGCTCATAGGACGGCGGAGCCTCTGGAGGGACAAAGCAGGGTTGGTAAAGGTCTCGTAGCTCTCCCCCACCCCCCACCCCCGTCACTGACCTTCTGCACTCACCATAAGGGCAGCCCCACGAGCTATACTCCGGGGGGAGGATCAAGGTGCTGGTGGTGGGCAGAGGGCCCCCTGAACCCTCTGCAAAGTAGGGGACAGTAGCACCTATAGAGACGCACAAGGGGGGGTGCAGAGAGTTGGGGGTGGGGCTCCCATCCTGAGCACAGGGCTCCAGGGCGCCAGGTGCAGAACCCAAGCCAGCAGGCAGCAGCTGCTGCTGTGAGTGGCTCTTGGTGCAGAGGGAGACCAGGCCAGAGAAGGGCGGGCCACCAGCCACAGGCTCAGCCTCCTCCTGGGGCGGTGCAGAGGGCACCACTGGTGACGAGGTTCCCGGAAGAGGCCCTGGGCCTGGCTGGGGGCTTAGTGGGGCTCGGTTCACAGCAATATTGCCAACAAAGACTGGGAGGGTCACAGTGGCTTCGGGAACCTTCATGGAGACCTGCAGGTAGTAGTCAATGTGGATGAGGCTGCAGCCTGGCAGGGCTGACTGGGGCAAGGCAGGCACCAGAATCTGCTCTTGCCACTGAGCACGCCGCCAGGCCTTGACAGCAGCACCCTCCACCTCTGCGATGGTCCGCACATCATAGATCCAGCGCTTGGCCTTGTAAGATACTTTCTGGGGAAAGAGCAGCCTGTGAGCCAGGGCAGGCTGGCAACCCCCACCTGTGCAACGGGCTGGCCTAGGCAGCAGAGGAGGCTCTGACCTGCAGCAGACTGGCCACCACGGGGCTTGTGTCCTTGCCAGACTGGTTCTCGATGTCAGCCTGTAGCCGCAGTACCTGCCCCACCACATAGCCACGGAGATCAGTGCTGGCTGTGAGGACCACACTGCCCGTCTTCACCAGCTTGTAGGAGAACTTCTTAGTGGTGGAGGCCACGTTGGGTTGCTTGGGGGAGAGGGTCAGGGAGGGGTTTGGCAGGTGAGCACAAGCTGAATACCTGTGGCACTGCACGGGCCCACTCAGCCCTGCCCCAGGCACCAGCAGTTGGTTCAGTCACAGGCTGTTGCTTGCTCTTCCAGACCCTACCCTGGCTGCCTTGGCTCAGCTGAGGACAGGGTCCCAGGCCTGGCTCTCCCCACACGCCTGAAGGGTGGGGGCCACACAGAGACCACTGCTCCATCCTCACCTCAATGTCTGGGATGCTGTTCAGGTTCAGGGGGCTCAAGATGTAGAACACCAGGCTGCACTTGTGATCCTTGGAAAACCTCGGTGTGTCGATCGTGGCCCTCACCTGGTGCACAATCCTCCCAAACGGACCCTCAAAGGATGTGGGTGCTGTGGCTGAGCAGAGAGCAGAAATTGGCACCCAGCACCTCTGCCTGCTGGGCCCACTGTCCCAGAGCCACTGTCCCCACCAGCCATGCAGGGCAGCTCTCACCTGGAAGCAGGAACTGGAAGGGAAAGCTGTGCTCTCCTGTGGGTAGACTCCCTGCAGAGACAGGAGTGAGGTGGAGCAGGCCTCAGAGGCCCATGGGCCAGCCACAGCCCCAGGGTAGCAGTGGGCACAGCACCAACCAGCCTGTGCCTCACATGGCTGTTGGTCCCTGTCTCGCTCCAGCACCACAGCAGCACAGCCATAGCCTGGCCAAGAGCCACCGACAAGCCCTTGAAGGGAAAAGTGGCTTGGGAAGGGGACAGGTTCCACTGGGGCCAGAGCACATACAGATCCAGCACCACAAAAGAAGGGCCCCATTCAGCCACCCATGAGGCAGTGGCTGCAGGGAAGAGAAATCCACCAGGGCCACTAGCACAGGAAGCCAAGAGGCAGCTGTGGAGAGGGGGGAACAGACAGGCCCCACTGTGGGCGAGGGCTGCTCCGGGGGTCACTACTTGGGGTGTGGGGTTGGGTTCCACACTTACCCTTGTCAGCCAGCGACAAGGTGCTGTTGAAGTAGCTCTCCTCCACCACCCATGCCACATCGTTGGCCTTGTTAGAGACACCACAGGATCCTGTGCAGGTCACCCGGATGGCTGTAAGGAGCAGGCAGGTGTGAGATCCAGCCAGCCCGGGCCCTTTCCTGCCCCTAGCACAGTTCAGCAGGGCTGGCAGCACCCAGGGAACAAGGAACCCCACCTGTACAGGGCCTGAGAAGCAAAGAGCCTGCAACCTTCTCAAGGACACCTCACAGGCATACTGGTTTGGGGAGTTCCCAGGGAACCAGCTGGGAAGGCACTTGGCAGGCACAGAGTTTCATCTGTCCCGTAACCCACAGGGACCCCAGAACTGCCATCCAAATAGGTAATTGTGGCCCCAGCCAGGCCTCTGAAAACCCAGGCCCCAGGAAATGCTTGGGGTGCCCCACCTTCCAGCTGCAAGTCAGCTAAGTGGGAGGTGCCCCTGAGGGCCTAGGAAGCTAACTGCCAGCTCTCAGCTGCAGGAATGTGGTCAGACCTGCCTGAGCAGGTCGCTGACTGACACCCAGGAAGGCAGCCCTGACTTCCTGGGCCCACTGCCCAGAGGCTGACTTTCTGCACCATGGGAGTGCCCCGACCACTGGAGGCAGAACTGAGTTCCTCAGTCCCCAGAGCACACTATGGTTGTGCAGCCATGGAAAATGACCAGGCACAACTGAAGCAGGTCACAAAGGAGGACCAATCCCACAGAATGCCACCACAGCAGGAGACCCAAGCAGGTATCAGCTGGGAGCTAGGAATGGGCACACTGCAGCGCTACCCTCCTCCCTGGTCCTCTCCCAGACCTGAACAGAGTTGTGTGAGGGGAAAGGTGACAAAGCCACCTGGCAGGAGGAACAGTAGTGGCCCTGCTGGCCACCTGCAGAGCCTCAGCCTTCCTCTCAGGAACCCTTGGCTCATCCTCAGCCCCAAGTGGTTCCACCCACCCACCCCATTGATGGTTGCCAGACCCCTGTAGCCTTCCAGAGGGCGTCCTTCCTTCCCACACCATTGTGCTGTTCTTTGCCCCCTGCCTCAGCCCTGACTTGGAACCCTGCTCCTTCTGCCAGGCCCTCCCAGGCCAGAGAGTCCACTGTTCCTGCCAGGCTCAGAGAAGGACAGGCCGAGGATGTCCTTAAAGACTCAGGCACAGAAAAGACTGCCTCATGGAGAGGCCACATCCGCCCAATCCTGTAGCCCTTAGGATGCGGGCACTCACCAAGAATGCTGGAAGAGGTGTGTAGGTCCCCGTTCAGGCCTGGGTGCTGGTCAATGGCCACTGACCAGGTGCCCCAGTTCACTGCACTAAACTGAAGCACCTTGCCCTCCACTAGCCCAGTGTCTCTCAAAAGCAGAGTGCCTGAGGGCCGGGGATGTAGCTTAGTGGTGCTGCCACCTGCCTCACAAGTGCAAGGTCTTGAGTTCAATCCCCAGTACAAAAAAAAAAAAAATACTCCTCTGCCTCACATCACAGCAAGTGGCAGGTCAGGCTGGGAGAACCCCCATGGAGCCGGTTTTCACTGGTCAAGGCTGTTAACAGCAGCCAGGTTTCTGCTTTCCCAGATCCCCAGACAAGGCAGATCACAGCTTACAGTTCTGCCCAGGAAAAGTGAGGGGCATCCATGGGCACAGTGGAGGGATCTCTTTGCTGCTGGAGACAACACATGGGGGTGGCAGTTCCCCCTTCTCTCCCAGTGGCCAGCACAAGCTGCAGGACTGGGCACCCTGGTGGCCATCACCTGGTTGAGCTGCTCTTTGGCAGTGACCCTGCTGAGGAGCATGGCTACACCACAGCATGTGCTCTGTAGCATGGCCATGGGACAGGCCTCCACCCTCAGGGCCAAGAGGAGGCTACAGAACCTCATATACCACACAGTGCTTCCAGATACATGGTGTTCAGTGGCCTAACAAAGGCAAGCACCAAGCTGACAGGTATCAGCTGCTGGTGGCTGGGGCTGCTCTGCTTCTCTTAGGAAATTACCACAGAGCAGAATTCCCTGGGCACTTCTGAAACTCTCTTCTCACAGTGCTCTCTGACCTGTCCAGCAGCCCTCTCTCCTGGACCTGCCACTGACCTGAAGACTCCACACACTCCTCTTCTGGTTCCAAAGCCTAGCTTTTGCCCCACCACCCCACAGTGTGCTGTTTTACTTCTGGACTGCATCATGACAATAACAAGAGTGGTCCTTCCCAGGAAATGACAGAGTGGAAGGGAGCCATCTGTGAGAAGTGGGGAGAACCACATTTGCTCCATGATCAGAGCTCAGGGAGTCATAGCAGAGTGTGGGGCCGCCCCATCCAGCCCTGCCCAGGCTCCAGAAAACTGAGCCTTCCTTCCACATCAGCTCTCAGGCAGCAGTGTTCCCATGGCTGGGTGTTGACTATAATTGTCACTCATGGAACAGACGCTTAGAGAGCAAAACTGGGAACCCCAAGGCAGCCTGCGTCCTTCTGGGGTGTGAGGGGCCTCCCTGTTGCACCTACTGGGCCTAGCAGGAGCTCAGCATCTTTTGAATGGTCTTTCCTTCCCCATCCCACACAGGGCTAGAGGAAGCCCAGAGCAGCCCCTGCACACATGTGCCCACCTGGTGGGACGTGTACAGCTGGGGCTCCCGCAGCCTCAAGGCCAGCTGTCTAGTCACCCATTCTCTACCTGTCACATGGAGGCTAGGGGCTGGCCCACACTGTAATGCTCTGCTCACCCCAAGCCAAGCCAGGGAGGGAAGGAGAGAATAGACAATCCTGGAAGCGATCTCCACATAGGGCCTCTGTCCTGTCCCCCATGTGCCAGGCCTACATGCACGTGACCTGTATCACACTCCCCTGAGCAAAGATGGAGCCCTCTCCTTGCCTTCATACCTCATCTTGCCCAAAAGAGCTGTCCTGTTGCTGCTATGGCAAGCTCCAAGTGGGGATACAGGAGAGAAGGCCCAAAAAGGACAGAGCTGACAGAAGCATCTACAACCCAGCTTCCTCGTAGACCCCAGCAGACTGGATGAGGGTGGGGGGCCAGAAAGCGTCACAGCACCAGGGTGACTGAGAGGAGTGTTGGGAGCCATTCTACATAATTTTGGGGAAAAAAAATCATTTCACAATCAAATTATGATTAGGGGTGTCTGAGGTCTCAATAGTCCTATGAAGCTGTGACACTCAAGGGCAGGATTATATCAGCTGAAGACATCCTGGTTGAAAACTCAGTAGTAATACAAAGAGAGAAAGCTTTCAGCTGGGGAGGGACAAATTCCTTATCAGCTTAACTCATCCCACCTACATTTTGCTTATCTCACCATCCTACTCAATTTAAACTCATCAGGATAAGATCCTCCATCATCGTAGGATTACCGCTGCCCTCCCAGAATCTGATACTTCCTCCGATTATAAGATCCTTGTCAATTTAAAATTATTGCTGCCCTCTGAGTCATCAGACAGTCCCTATAAACCCAATAGCAGCAAGCTCAGGGTCCCTTAGTCTTTGCTGCCCAGAGCAGCACTGATCAGGCCCAAAACCCAGCTTCTTCTCCAAGTCTCATTTCTCCTCTTTATTCTTATCAGCTTTGTATTGTAGTGGCTCACAGGAGATCAGGACCCACTGTAGGGGTTCTGGTAACACCCCCTTTCCCATTCCCTATAGAGGAGGAGAAAGGTATGGCCTCTGTCTTCAGCACCAGAGGTGCAGGCTGTCAATAACACGAGCCGGGGGTCAGGTCCAGAAGGGAGTGGGCAGCTGTGGTTTGGACCAAGCAGCAAGATGGCTCTCACAGGAGGCCAAGGCAGAGATGTACCCTGCAGGGAGGCCACATCAGCCTCCCACTCAGAGCCAGGGGCCACCACGCTGCTCACCGCCCCCCCCCCCAGGGCTCAGTCATCAAGTTCTACCCGGGGTTCTGTCCAAGAAAGCACCCATACCCAATGCGCAGAGGAGGTCCACACCTGCAGAGGGCCCTATCGGTGGCTACTGTAACAACCTGATCCTCAGTCCCAGAGTCCCAGAGGTCTGCATCAGCAGTGGCTCAGGCTCAGGGCCCTGGAGATTTGCCTGTGCCCAGCCAGGTCAGCTGCTCCGGCAGCAAGAGCCAGCCTTGGGCAGCATGCAGGTAGGTGCCCTGCAGACCCACTAGAGACCCGCAGCCCTGGGCCAGGTCTGTCTCTGACTGGGAGGTGGGTGCCCAGCAGCCTGGGGACCCGGTGTGGGCTGGCTTTCCGGTGAGGGCCCAGCAGGTGAGGGCGTAGCGGGCCCTGGATACCTGGGTGGGAGGGTCAGAAGCCTATGGTGTCCACGGCTGGGATGGCCTCGGCAAGGTGGACGGGCGCTAGGCCCCGGCCCGGGACCCGACCGCCCAAGGCGGAAAAGACAGGAAGGAACAGATGCGGAAGGACTGGGCCACCGGGCCTGCCCCGGCCGCCGTTGGCCTCCTACCCCGGCGGGGCTGCGATATTAGAGGCCCGAGCGTGCGCGCGCTCCCGTAGCCCGGGGACCCTGAGGACCTCACCTCCGGAGCCCACCCCGCCGCCCTCCCCGAAGTGCCCTGCGCCTACCTCGGAAGGGCAGCGGAGCCGCCAGGCGCACGCGCACGGCCCCGGCCAGCGGCTCCCCTGGGCAGTAGACGACGCGCCCTTGGCACAGGCTGATCTCGAAAAGCTGCACCCGCCCCATTCCGCGGCCCCCCGCGCCGCGAACAGACTCCCGGGCCGGGCCACAGTTCGGAGGACCGGCCCCGCCCCGCGAACGCGGCCCCGCCCCTCCCCGCCCCAGTACAGGGCCGGCCCCGCCCCAAACCCAGGGCACGCCCTCTATGAAGGACGCGGCCCCTCCCACAGCCAAGCGGGCCCCACCCCCAACCCAAAACCCGTTCCTCGCTAACCCGCCAGGCCCTGCCGCCTCAGCCGCCCTGCCGCCTCAGCCGCCCGGCCCCAGAACTCGCCCCGGCCTCAGGACCCGCCCC